CCAGGCTACGGTGATGCGGGTGCTGACCAGAAACCGGAGACTTTATTTTTTGGCCTTAAAGAGATGTCGCACTCTTTTCATCCATATTATTGTCAAACTTCAGCAAAATGTCAAACTTTGTGACGATATTATCCAATTGAAAAGCTGAGTTTATTAAGTCCTACATGTTGAATGAATAAGTGAACAAAATATTTTCTTAAACTCATGTTTTGACACAAACATCATTGTAAAAAAGATATTGTGACTATTTTTGCTAAAATATTATAGTGTATAATAATTTTAGGGTTTTTTTTCCTGGAGTGAGTGCAAATTAAATAAATGACTGAATAAGCATTAAACAATACTGTGTTTTTCATCATTCTGGTCTTGCAACTTATTGCAATAAATCTCGATATTTGACAAGGACGAGCCCTTGTTAGCAAATTGCAAAATCTTGCATTGTTCTTAGAAAAAGAGGGAGGTGTTCATTTCCTTTACATTTTTCCTGCGTGGTCATGGGAGACAAGGGCCTAGGGAACGGGTGCAGACCTAAAAAGGCCTAGAATTTCCTATGCACGGCAAATCAGGATTTGTATACCCTCAATTTGTTACTGTTATTTTTGAGGACCATGAATTGAAGGTTTGTAAATAAAGACGGGTGGAAGCCGTGCACTATTTTGCCCTGTTTTTCAAATGGCGATGGGCCTCAGAACTTCTTTTAGGGGTGAGCATCTTTGGATGGAATCTTCTCCCAAAAGTCATTGGGTTATCCCCAAAAGAAGTGAACAGAAAATGAAAGATGATGAAATAAGCTTATTTGATGGGCGTCTCAAACACCTTGGAGAGTTGTGAGTATTTTTAATAAGTGTAATTATCGCTGAGGTCTTTGGGAGTCGGTTTACCTTTCTGCACCCTTCGGGGTCCAGACCAGTGATGATGTTCGTCCTTTGCATGCGAAGAAGACCCATGACGTGTGCGAAGATGCCCGATAAGGCCGATCCTCGCGCGGTATGACTGGTTGCAGTGAGGGCAAGTGTTGGTTGGGGGCTGACTAGGTGAGAAGGAGGAACTTGATCTGTTCCTGCAGAGCTGTCGTTTCCTTTCGGCCTCACAGATGTGGCCTTTCTCATACTTCGTCACGCTGTGCTTGACCAAATTACGCCAGTTGGTGTGGTGCTGCAAAACACCCCCCCCCCCCCCACGTTTCTGGATCTATGCTGCAACTTTTGAGGGAGGCCTTTAGGGGTGTCTTTGTAAGTTTCCTCTGGCTACTTTGCTAGCACTTTTTGTGACAGTGTTCGCCGTAGAGCAGTCTCTTTGGCAGGCGCTCCTCTGGCATGCGACGGAAATGACTGGCCCATGTCAGCTGGGAATGCTTGAGTGTGGCGTGGATGCTTTCCATTTCAGCCCTGTGTAAGACCTCCGTGTCTGGAAGTTTGTCCTGCCTTTTAATGTGGAGAAGCTTCCTGAGACATCTCATGTGGAAGGCATTGAGCTGCTTGGCATGCCGGCTGTATACAGTCCAGGTTTCACAGGCCTAAAGGAGGGAGGGGAGCACAACAGGGCGGTAGACTTTGAGCTTAGTCTTAAGGGTAATTGCTCTAAGCTCCCACACCGAGGCGTGAAGTCTGCCGAAGGCAGTGCTTGCGAGAGCGATCCTATAGGCAACCTCATCGTCGATGTTGCCAATGCGAGACAGGGTGCTGCCTATAGGTAGACGAACTTGTCTGCCACGTCCGTCGTCCACGGTGATGTAGGGCTCTGTGTAGGGGACTGAGGAGGGGGGATGAACCTGATGAAGTGGGACCGTAGATAGCCTCGAGGGTGCTGTAGACGTTCTTGCTGTCATTCCGGTCTGCGTAGGACTGTGATTCATCAGCTTTCCTGTTCAGCCAGGCGTCCTGCATATGACACAGCTCCCTTTGGACGGTTGATTTGATCTTGAAAGCAGACTGCTTTAAAGCAGATATTGGGTCGTTAAGGAGGGCTCTGTGCAGACATTGCTTCTCGTGGAGAAGATCTCTGATGTTGTCGTCACTCTCATCTAACCAGTCCTGGTGCCTGCGAACTGTAGGTCCTACTTCATCGAGGGCAACAGCATTAATGATGCCTCTGAAAGGACCCCATTCCTCTTCAGTGTTTCCTTAGGTACTGGGGTTCTGTAGCTTGCTGGAGAGCTCTTCAGTCATGAACTGTCTAACGGGTGAGCTTGGGAGCCTGGAGACGTTGATACGCTTTTGGGCTTTGGTGCCTTGAGGTCTCCTGGGTGGGTGTATCCAGGAAGTCCTGTTACACCGTTGGAAGGCAGAAGACGGAGTTGGTGATCAAGAGCTTGTGTGCCGCGCATGCTTCTAGAAGAAGGGTGCTGTTGTTGTTGGTGTTGCAGCTAGCAATGCTGGTTTTTGACGAGGACACTTTCCCATGACTCATGGCAGGTGCCGACTCTGGCGTTGAAGTTACCAAGAATGATGAGCTTGTCTGCCCTGGGCACTGCAGTGATGGTGGAGGTAAGGTCCTCATAGAACTTCTCCTTCAGATCATCAAGGTTGGTCATCGTGGCAGTGTAGGCACTGATGAGCGTGGCAAAACGTTTACCTGGGAGTGGCAGTCTCATGGTCAGCCGGTTATTGACACCTTTAGGGGGTACAGCCAGCTTGCTGCCAAGTTGGTTTTGACAGCAAAGCCAACCCCTGCCTCGTGTCGCTCTGCTTCGCTACGGTCGATCCAAAAAAGTGTAGCCAGCACCGACTTCTGACAGCTGACCCTATCCTGGAGGGCGGGTCTCACTCAGGGCGGCGATCTGGATGCCATACCTGACCAGTTCTCTGGCGATCAAGGCAGATCTCTTTCTGGTCTAGGGGCGCCAGTGTGCGCACATTCCATTCGCTTGGGTGATCAATGTCACCTTTCTTTTTGTTTTTCCCCTTGTTGCTTACCACTGGTACTGGGACTCCTGCCAGCCGCGGCCACCTGGCCAGGAATCGGTGAGGCAGTCAATGTTTGGGCACCTTTTCTAGCCCACTCCTCATGCCAGGGAAATGAGCAGTGCGGCCCTGAAGAGGGCTGCTCAGTCACCTGGGCTGCCAAATTCCAGCGCTGCCTTTGGTCACTGGAAGGCTACCATATGGCCCGAGCCGCCTATGTGCGGGTTTGTTGCTACGGCTCAGTATGTCCACACCTGCCGCATTGTCATTTCCCCATCGCCGCAGGATCTTGAGACGATGATGTCATGGGAATGGAAGGGTGAAGTCATGACTGCACGATGGCTTGGATTATAGAGAGGTGGCGTTGCGCTGCGCTGACCTCACTCTCTCGCCCGAGACCATATATTGCAAGACAGAGCCAAGAGAGCTGGAGATAAATCTGGGTGCAGTGGATGGTCTGGATGTTTTCTGTGCCCCATCCAACTTACAGCTTTCCACAAAGCGTGTTGGTATCGCCGTCCCGCCCGTCGGATCACTAGAGTCTCCTCTGCACATTCAGCCGAAAACCAGTATTTGCATGCTCAGGGTAGGCAAGCCCTCAATCACCAAGATGCTTGGTGCAATATCACCAGAAGGTCTGAAACCCGTTGGCTACCCTCAACCTTGCCCAACCGGCATGGTCGCATGCCGAACAGTTACTTGGAGCCACAGGTTAGAGTTGAGAAGTAGACTGCCGTCTAAGGTTAACGGGTTCTACCCAACCAGTTAATAGACTGCCACAGACCTTAGTGGTAGTTACGCGTTCTCCCAAATTATTACAACTTTATAAAAAATACTCAAAACTCTCTGAGGTGTTCAAGACACGCATCAAATAACGCATCTGTTTTATCTGCAGCCACGAGCTAAAATTTCATGCAGCTTAGTTGTCATGCATTCAACATTTGCAATTTTGTTTCTACAAATAAAAAAACAAATAGGCCTACACGAAAGAGGATGGCGTACCCTATCCCCTTTTATGCAAACATATGACAAGTGACGATCTTTTTTTGTGTGTGTGGTAAGCTCGTATAAATTTGGATGAAGTTAGCCCAAAATGGATTTATTTTGCAAAGGAGCGTTGGCGTCCATTTTCAAAATTGCGATGGGTATAAGCTTCAGGCCTGCTTTTAGGGGTGCACGGTGTAACTTGCGTGATCATCGTTGGATGAAATTTCCCCCGAAAACTAGAACAAGAATTGAACAGAAAGTGAAAGATTATGGAATAAGCTTTAATTTGATATGTATCTCAAACGCATTGGAGAGTTGTGGGTATTTTTAATAATTTTGGGAAGTGCGCGTTATTACCACTAAGGCCTATATGGTGGTGTATTTACTGGTCTGCACCCTTTTAAGTTCGGACTTCAAATATAGGGACAGCTCAGGTAGCAAGCGGTATAGAAGCGCTCTGATGTATGGAAATTTATTATGCATGACCCGTTACAGGTCTGAATCCCGCCTCCTGAATCACGCAATGTTTGTCCGCAACCATCCTATTGCAAAATGGCATTTTCAGAGGTGATAAGCTTCGATTTTTGCTGAATTCGAAAGTGTCTCTGGCAAATATCAATAAAGAGAGCAAAATTACTCTTCAGTATTTAAAACCTATGCAGTTGAAATGCTAGAAAGTTACCTTCATGGAGTCACTAACGATTTTGCGTACTTTTTGTGGCAAGACAAAGAGTGAGGTTTTTTTTATAATCGTGTGTTCAATCACCGTCTGTGCACAGAGAGCTCAACCGCGATTTGAAAATAAACAAATATGGTGCGTGCGTGCAAAGGTGATCCAGTCAATGGCTTTGAATGGGAGAGCCGGGATGGATGGGGGCCGGGAAACAGTCTAAGGGGTACAGATCATCGATCATGCGCTGAGCCAGTATTTTTTTGTAAACATGCGTACAATAAGAGAATGATAAACAACTTCTATCCCTGGTGGATGCTTTTATACAATTGCAGTACGGTTGGGTAAACTTCAAAAACTGCACTTAACAATAAGCAAAGCAACAATATGCGGCGCTGAGCGATGCATCTATTGCACACTGTACGTGTACATCTGAGTTTCGGTATATCGCCATTGGAGTACTTATCCTGTAGCGGCGGCGAAAGAACGATTAACTTGTAAGTAAGAACAAAATGATTATTATCACCTTAAACTTTGGATGATCACTGAAACCTTTAAAGCTAATATAACTTGTACTGTGAATCCGTTTTTTAATCATGATATCGAGTTGACTTGATGACAGATGGCGTAGGCCTATCTGCTGCTTGGTGCCATTTTGTCGCACAGGGCCGGGGTACACCTGGGAAGTGGTCTTTGTTTTTTTCGTGGGTAACTCACAAACAATGAAAACATGAAATGGGCACAACCGATGGGGAAAAAAGCTGTCTTTTTTTATTTCCCACAATTTCTGAGTTGGGGGTGCACTTTGCCTTAGCTGAGTTGATTGCGCCCATGCTCTCCCTTCGTGTTCCAGTTTAACGTCACTGAAGCTCAAAACACAATAATACATTTGTCCGACTGGAATACATGTATAACCCAGAAGTCTCGGACTAAGATGTTTTCGTTCCTGAAAAATGTAAAGGGTTGTTTTCTGACAATTATCAGACAAAATATATTGTGCCATGATAATGTGATGAAATAACAGGAATTGGAGAACATGTGCATGTGATTATTCAGATGTTATAGTAATAGGCCTACTTCCCCTGTGGAGATGACACAACCGTACCTGATGTCGCTTCATTATAGATGCCCGCGGAAGTTCGGGGCCATTCATAGACTAACATTGCATCCAAACGGAACAGTTTCGGACCAATGCTGTCACAGGAAGCTCAATATTGCAAGCGTTGGTGAAGAAGCGTTTGGTTTGTGTTACTGATTTTCAGCTACATTGTTTATGCGCTGAGCAAGGGCTTCAACATCCTTCCATAGATCTGTTTTCCAGCTCAAGTTCAACCTCAAGTCATGGCCTGCCTGTGCTGGTGGTGGCGCTGGGTAGTCACACTAGCGGCATTCAATGTGACATTTCTCTGTCTCGGACTTCTGTACAACTACAGCATACTCTTCGTGAGTTTGAAGGAGGAATTCCATGCTGGATCCGCAGCAACAGGTAGGCTAAACACCCAAACGTTAGAAGTATAGCACCTTTTTGGGATAAGGTGCACGCGCGTGCGGCCCTTATGGAATAAAGAATTAGTTAAAGGCACGTAGGAATTGAAAACATACCTGAAGTGGACCAACCCGAAGGTAGAGTACAGCATTTTGTAATGTGTGCATAATGTTAGTTTGAAGCATCGAAAGTGCTCATAACCTAAGACGGGCAGTGTTGTAGTCGAGACCGGATAGTCCGAGACCGAGACCAAGACCGAGACCTGAAGATTCGAGACCGAGACCGAGACCGAGACCAGCCCCTTCAAGGCGGACCGAGACCGAGACCAATATGGTCCGAGACCGAGACCCAGAGTTGTAACGAGTCACTGATTTTTGTGACTCGAGTCGAGTCGAGTCATTTTTAAGAAGTGACTCGAGTCGAGTCGAGTCATTAGGTCAACAAGGTCGAGTCGAGTCGAGTCGAGTCACAGAGTGTGGTCGAGTCGAGTCGAGTCGAGTCAAGTATTTAGCTCGAGTCAATTCGAGTCACAAATATTTGAACACTTAATTACAATAAAAAGCAACAAACACAAGAGAGAGAATACAAGGCACCAGTCTATTACGGAAATCCAAAGACATAAAGTATGCTGTATGGTACCCAACCAACAGTTTTCATTGCTAGCTCACGTCACAGATAAGAAGATGTGAAACTTCGGTCTTATAACTGGTTTGGCTTCGGGTCTAGATTTTATTGTTCGCTGATCGCTGACAACGTTAAAACCTAATTGCATACAAAACTGTTTCTGATTATTTAAAGGTGGGCCCGTCCGTATCCATTTTTGTGTGTGAAATCGGGACATGAATTTAGCCAGCGTTCCACCAAGAACTTCAAAATCGCCCGAAACCAATGATGAAACCACGGATTGAGAAATGCGTTTTAAGTCTGGTTCCGGGTTTAGCATTACATGCTATAGAACCACAAGGTGGGAGTCCGCGACACGGTGTATGTTTGTTGTTTCATTATGGAGGAAGGAAACAGACTGCCGCTGTATATAAACGTACATTATTCGCGAACATTAACATGACGTGAACAAAAACTGGCAACGCGAACGGCGCAGCGTAAGTCATTGCAAATATTTTTCGCAAGTAAGTTTTGCTTTTATTTTGGGACTCGAGTCTTATTAGCCTTCCTCGAGTCGAGTCGAGTCATTCTGATGAGGGACTCGAGTCGAGTCGAGTCATTTGCTCGCAGTGACTCGAGTCGAGTCGAGTCATTTACCCGTCGGGACTCGAGTCGAGTCGAGTCGCCAAAAAATGTGACTCGAGTCGGACTCGAGTCGAGTCATTGACTCGAGTCATTACAACTCTGCCGAGACCGAGACCGAGACCGCTGATAATGAATAACAAAAGTCGAAATTAAAAAAAACAAGACACGTTATTATAGTTGAAAAATTTACCTTTCTATTCACAAAGAATACAGACCAAAATTTCGACCAGTGGCAGTGTTGACAAATTGATACATGACACCTTACTTGAGCAAAAAGTAGTTACACTTAAGAAACATGGGCTTTGACATGTTGTCTACACCCAATCGTGACAAAAGTAAAAAGTTAAGGATAGATGTTTCATCTGTTATAGGAACTCAGATCCTAAACTCCACATTCACCCCCTTGGTTTCAGCTATGACTTCTAACGGATATTTAAAGATGCAATTTTAATTTTACATTGCCTCTTTTTTCCTAAAATAAAATTAGGACTTAACTTCTAACAAGACTTGTGTACTTGATTTTAAAAAATGGGAGCTAGAAAATGTTGAATTAATTTTTAAAATTTTTGTCATAGAATGTGGACTTGTACATGTAGACCCACAAGTTGCGAGGTGGTAGCCAGAATGTGCTAGATATGGATTTTTAATTTTTTCTGAACGGGATTTTTAATTTTTGAGGAATAATGGGGTACTTTAAAATGAGCAGCCAGAAAATGGGGTCTCATCATACACTCTCATGGCAACAGTGGGTGGTAACTTGTACATGTAAGGGGCCATTCAGAATTTTCAATGTTTTAAAATTTCGACTTTTTTTCCAAATTATTTTGACCCACCCACCCACCCCTAATTTCGATTAATAAAAAAACTGAACATGACTGTACATGTACATGCACTTGCATGTACATGTACTTGAACACCATGTACATGTACATGTGTGTCTAGTTCAGTGACGGCGTGAAGTTGTTGGTCATCCTCTTTTATGTGATAAAATGTGTGATACCTCACCAAAAAGTATCTTTTAACGAAATTCAATCAGAATATTTATCCATTTTTTTTTTTTAATGTTTAATTGTTGTTTTACTTGTTGGTGTCCCTGCCACACTGTACGATGGTGTAGCCGTGCGTTATGCACGTGGATTGTATACTTTCGTTTTGACGGGGACTTTACTGAATAGAGTCTGGTGACTGTACATAGAAATTTCTTTGAATAAAAAACGAATCGTTCATTCATGTGCACTTGTTATGCAAAGCAGGGGCAGTGGTTCAAGGATATCCAGTCGACTTGCAGAAAGTGTGCAAGAACGCGACTTGAATGCTTTTATGTGTCCACAATACAACGACGCTTTTTAGTTATTTCACTGTGTGACACAGTGAACATTTTTGGAATCATAGGCCTAATGGCGTCAGCGATACTTGCTGGGGAGCTCTTGCGTACGACTTTCTGTACTTTGGTACTGTTATTTCCAGGACAATTGTGTGTACGGTAACCCGACGTACCAAGATTTTTAAAGACGAAATTGCCGACCTCAAACTTGTTAGTGCCATATTTGGCAACTATATGTGCGTTATTAGTTTAATTAAACAAATGAACAGGTTAATTAAACATAGTACCATTGAAGGTACCTAAAAGTAAACATAACACCATAGAAGACCGACAGACGAACAAAAAATGTTACAAAATAAACATATTTGTCTGGATAATTTTTTTAGGGCGTTACCGGAAAGTTAACACAAACTTGGTGTCAAATAGATCATGAGAGTTACTTTTCTTTGACTTTTCATACAAGTTTACATAACTTTAACTGTATGACCTGCAGTGGCGTAGCCACGGGGGGGGGCGTGGGAGGCGCCACCCCCCTCCCCCCCCCCCCTCCATGAAACCTTGTCGCCCACCCCCCAGTCGCCTCCCCCACTGAGATTTTGAGTTTCGAAAAAAAAATCATTGATCTACATGACGCCCCCCCCCCCATGAAATGTTCAAGCCCCCCCCCCCCCCCCCCCCCCCCCACACACACACACACACACACACTGAAAAATTCCTGGCTATGCCACTGACAGTACATACAGGGGACGAAGTTGGAAAAGAAACACGCATCGCGATATTTCGCGTTTGCAAGTCAAAAGATCTATCTTTCTTTGTTTTTGTATCTTTTTTTCCCTGGAAAGTGAATTTCGATTTTCAATTATTTAGCTTGACCCACCCACCCACAATTTGGAAAAAGATCGAAATTTTAAAACACTGAAAATTCTGAATGGCCGCTAAGAGTGTGTGAGTTAAAATCTGGAAAATCAGGTAGAAAAATTTACTTTTAAAAATACTGTCAAAATACTGTCCTAAATAAAAGAGAACATTGTGTGGGGTCGAAAATATAACTAATTTGAAGCACCTCATTTAATATCAGAATACAAAATGCAAGTGATTACGCCCACAGGGGTGGGCTAAACTACACAATCCCCGAAAATGGTTGACACTTATTGCATAAATTGTTACATGTACAAGTTTATACTTTGCTTTATGTGGCCGATTCAACAGATAAATGCCGAACTTGTTCCAAATCGTTCAGTAACTGGTACTGCTGGAGCTTTACATGTACTTTGGGGACTTTCCAACGTGCAGGCGAGTCCAAACCGACCGCGATATATAACAAGCTTGATCTACGGGCTAGCAAATGTTTTAAATAACAACGGTACTGAACGAAGTGAACACAAAGTAATCGATCGAGCTGTAAAAGCTACAATATTGCCGGTCTCGACCCGAGACCAGCCAAAATATCGAGACCAAAGGGGACCGAGACCGAGACCAAGACCGAGACCACAGCATCCGAGACCGAGACCGAGACCAGCAAAAAGTGGTCTCGAGACCGGTCTCGAGACCGAGACCGGTCTCGAGACCGGTCTCGAGACCGAGACCGGTCTCGAGACCTACAACACTGAAGACGGGTGCTGAACCACTAACCTGGAGGAGTTTTAGCTCAGTGAATGCTGTAGTCCTATATTCTGAGAAAACAGTATTCTTGGATCTCGGTTTCAATTCAAAAGTTGCCGAGTCATGTTTTGAATTGCGCCCAAATTCAGTGTCCGGGACACGTTCTCATTCAGCCGATTGCAGTTACGCGATGTCGCGCAATGAACCGACGAATTATAGCAACCGCGCGCGCGTGTGCGTACTGTCAACGCTTGCGCGCGCTTCGCCGAATTAGAAAAACAAAATACTAATAGAAATTTCCAAAAATGCGTCTTTAGACACATCGTTGGAAATGACCTTCTTTTATTGTTTTCTTCAAAATGACAGCATGACAGAAAGAACAATTTCACAGGGAGTTTGAGTGCCATATTACTATATCTTTAAACCAAGTAAGCTTTTCAACAAGTTTTGTCAGTGACTTTTTTGACATTTGCAAATGATACTCTTTAATGAGAAAAAAACTCGCTCAAAGTGAAGACGGGGACGGTATCAAATACCGTGTGGAATTAGTCCGCTAGAAATGGTATCGTTCGGAAGAAACAAACCATTGATAGAAGAGGTTTTCTTTGAGGGAGGCACTTACCAGTCCTAAATTCTGTATGACCGTATGTATATGTTAAAGTTTTTTGAATTACTTTTATTTCCTAAACATTCACCTGAATTGCATAAAACTTGGACACGAGCATCATTGAGTAGCAAAGATAATGTGGAATTTATTTCAGGTCATAGGTCAACTGAGGTTAATAATGATGTAATGCACAGTTTTGGGGGAAAGTTTACAACATTGTACGTGCTTTCCTTGATTTTGATGAAACTTGCATGCAGTGACCCTTGGGTAGGAAAACAATTCTTCATCGGATTACTGGGGCCAGAGGTCATGTAGGGGTCATTAGAGGTCATTGTTCAAATATGCTTCAAATATATTGTCTACAGAATTTGATGGATTGTAATGTCACTTGGATGGAGTAATCCCTTGGGTGGGGGTTCATCACAGTTCTTCCAAAATTGAAGGTCAAAGGTCATCTAGGGGTCATTTGTGGTCGTTGAAAAATGCCCCAAATGTGGGTTTTTTGTAAGAACACAACACATATAAGGATCGACCGCGGAAAAAGGCGACATGCGGTCCGCGGACCACTTGTTTTTAAAAACGTGTGCCGTGCGTTGGCAGCGAAATCCAGTGACGATATCGGCACATGTGCGTTTGTTGTCTGTGTTTTTTTCCGAATTGTAGTGTATAAGCCATTGAACTGAAACTTCGGTTAGTTGTTATGCACCCAAAAATTAAGTGTTCACATTTCGGCCTTTAGTTCCAACACAAAAGTTCCAAATATCCACACATTATGCGTGCACTTGAGCCACTGAATGTGTTTAATTATAGGACGCTCAATTTGTTTGCTAAATTTCAGGTTGGGTTGGTTCCGTGGCTATAGCCCTTACCGGCCTCTGTAGCCCTCTCACGGTCATCCTCGAACGCAAGCTGAGCAAGCGAACTATTGTCAACCTAGGAGTTGTCGTCTTCAGCGCAGGACTGTTCGTGACGTCATTCGTTCCGGCCCTAGGCTACGCCTATTTCACGTTTGGAGTTATGACGGGGGTCGGTGCGAACTTCATCAACCAGCCCACAATGGTAGTGGTTTTGGAGTGGTTTGCGAGAAAGAATTTCTCCCGTGCAATGGTCTTTACTTTGTTAGGATCAACTTGCGGTAATTATAGATTCGCTCGTATCCACCGCCCAAACTGCTAGGGCGCTGGGGAAGGGCTAGTCTCTTTCACAAAATTATGTGAAGGAAGCACAGGCGTTGCAAAGCACTGTGGTAGTTTGCTGCCTTAATCAATGCACGTACCTTCAGCGGTTACACCTCTATGTTCCGACACGCCTAGGTTCCGACACCCCTATATTCCGACAACTCAACCTATGGTCCGACACCCCTATGTTACGACTTCTCGACCGTGCTCCGACACTGTTCCGACTGCACATATTCTTATCCCTATAACTAGCCCTAAACCTAACCCTATAACTCTCACCGGGAGTAACACAATATTTTGTGCAGGTTGTCAGAACATAGGAGTGTCGGAACATATAGGGTAGTGTCTGAAGATAGGTTGAGCAGTCGGAATTAACATAGGAGTGTCGGAACATAGGTTGAGTTGTCGGAACGTAGAGGTGTCGGAACAAAGGGGTGTCGGAACATAGGTGTCGGAACATAGAGCAGCCACCACATGCACATTCAGCGCTCTGACAAAAATCTATAAAATGAGGGCTCGACGAAATTGACCTGTCGCCGTTTGGAATTTTGTGCGTTAAGTTTTGTTTGTCTCAGATGTTTCGCGTTCCGCGTCCATTCGTATATCGCGAATTGGACGATATTTCACAAGCTGCATTGACACGATTCTACCGCGACAAGGACATGAGGGTGGGTCCTGAAGAAATTAGCCCTTCCAGCGCCCTGTTTGGGTGGGGTACGAGCGAATAATTAAAATCACATGTAGTTGTTACCCGTAATTATTCACCGATTGAGGGCTCTGTCGTTATTTCGTTTTTAATACGTTTAAACTAATACAGAATTGAATGCGCTATTATGAAAGTGACGTTGATTTTTTCGTACTTTCTCAAGTTGTACAATTTCAGTATTTTTTTTAAACTTCAAAATGATAGCTTCCGAATCGTCAGGCCAGGCTCTGTCATTATTAACAGGGCGTCGATCGATATGCACTCTTGCCAATGAAAAGTCTTTTCAGGAAATTGCAGACTTCCTTTGTTGCCATTGGGGCTTTCGTCTCGGAAAATTTAAGTATTAATTCTCGGTTACCTTTTACAGGTATGTTGGTATTCAGTCCCGTGCTAACGACGTGCATTAGTCACTACGGATGGCGCGGTGCACTGAGAATTCTGGGCGGTGGCATCCTCGTTTTGGGCGTCGCGAACGGCATGTTTCTGACCGACCCACCAACTGAAGACTACACTGCGGCGCCCGATGATGAGCCTCCTGACGAAAAACACGAACTGGAGAACATGGACAAGGTGAAGCAAGTTCCGGAAGGGGGCACCGAGGGGTCTGATTATGAAAAGCGAAGCAGCAAGGGTCACGGTGCTGACTTAAGTGAAGGGAACATTGATCTCCAAGTGAACAACATCGACAACTCTGGATTTCTGCACCTTATTAAGAGCCTTGAGGTCTGGTTGTGGTCCATTGGTGTGCTGTTCAGTTACCTTGGGTGGAATTTCTTCAATATCAATTTTGTGAGTAGCCTAAATGTAACGCCTGAGCAGGCTGAAATAATATGAAAGGTTTATTATACAAATACAACATTCTTTTTAGGGGTAACAAGTGCATTACATATAACATATTTGACATACCTTTTTTGTTAATTTCATTGAGAAGTGCACTTCTTTAAATAAAAAATGTAATTGTCCATGCTTTTGCGGACAACTGAGGACGCTGTTGCAGTGATGTCATTTCAGGAAGACACTGTTCAGTTATGGGTTTTCTGTTTAAATTGTGAACCCCAGCGATTGCTTATTGAAACTATTATGTTGAGAGAGAAGTTTGCTCATTGGCTTATTGCCGGTACTGACACAACGAATCACCAAAGAAAAGAAAATTTACGACGGAGAAATGCCCAAAATTCTGGCAACTTTTGCTGCTGAATAGCTGTAACGTTGAGGTTTCTGCCTGAAATGACATCACACTATTGCTCGTCAATATGGAATTTAGCATCAGCATAAAAATCAAAAAGGCAGTAAAATACCCTTGGAAATGACATAACGAACATTTAAAAAAAAATAGAGTGAAATGGAAGTGAGTCTAGGGCCAACCTTGGCGTACCAACGCATGATGTTTTTCACTAACGAACTGTCTTCTCTTAATAAAGGCCAGTTTCATGGAAGGACTTGATTTCAGCAGCAGCCAGACAGCCTCTGCCATTATGCTCTTTGCTTGTGGGGAGATTGGCGGGAAATTGCTCATAGGTGTGATCGGAGATCGTCTGCCCTTCATGTCCTTGTACTTGCTCGTTATATCGTGTATCTTTGGAACTGTCGTCCTGGGATTGCTGGCCATTGTTAAGACTTTTACAACGGTTGCTGTCGTCGCTGTAGGTAAGTTGTTCAATGCTTCGACCTATACAGGGCGAGTAAAAATAAGACGATACCCAAAATGTCGGGACTATTGTTATAGTGAAGTTGTGCATGTAGCACTTTCAAAATCTAGGATATAAAAGTCCAATTCATAAGCTTTCTTTTAGTACAAGAATCAATCAAATCACTCGTGTAATTGTTAAGTTATGGAATTATAAACACAACCACCGTTTTAAAGTTCTGTCCACGGATCACAAAAAGGTACGTGTTCTTTCAGCAAAACGAAACCAAATCACATAGGGATGTGTGTGAATTGCTTTCGTTTTGCTGAAAGAACGCACACCTTTTTTGTGATTCGTGGACAGAACTTTAAAACGGTGGTTGTGTTTAAAATTCCGCAACTAAAAAGTACATGGGTGATTTAAATGAAAGTGCAACATGCAGAAAAATAAAACAATAGTCCCGACATTTGGGTTTCGCTTCTTTTTTTTTTTTTACTCACACTGTATAGTAATTCATGGGCGGCCTAGAGCAAGTTCGGGCGAGGGCCATTAGTCGACTGGGTTATTTGTGACGTTAATTGCGTCTGCGCACTAATAGCAACGTGCGAACTCCTCTAGTCAAACGATGGTCGAAACGTCAACACAAAACGTGTTGGTCCTGGCTCCTAGTTGTGGATAATGATGCGCATGCCTATTGGTAACAAGCGATGGAAATGTGCCCTGTGGTCCGGTTCCAAATAGTCGATTAGAGTATACAGTCTAACCATCCCGCCTTATTTTGAGCGAATTTAGTCGAACTAATAACTAGATATAACTCCCGCCCGAATTTGCTCATAGTCTTTTTTCCCATTTGGTATAGGAGACCGAACGAACTCAACCAGATCCTACGAAGAAAAGTCTATTGAACATTTTATTTTTAAATTTATTTTAACATGAACAAATTACTGGCTCTTCATGTTGATATACTTGATGATTATAAGGAATAAAATGTCAGTAAAGGTGTTGACAGTTCCTTTTTATTTCCATTGTGCCAAATTTGTTTGACACGGCTCGTCAAAAGTAGTCAAGGGCGGATCCCCCCCCCCAAAAAAAAAACATTTGTTTTAAAGTGATGTCGCAATAAATTTAAAGGCGGGCACTGCGTTCACCACCATCTGTGTACACCAAAGCATTTAGAATCCAAAAAAACTTTCGGGGCCCTTGAGCGGCCCCCCAAAAATTTTTAAAAAAAATTGTGTTCTGGATCCGCCCATGAGAGTAGTTAGACTAATTTCTAATTGAATTAGGTAAGGAAGTATTTTTTTGTGTGTGGGGATATTAATGACAAATGTTTTATTTTGTTTCACCCAGGGCACCGGCACTGGAATCATCACGCCCCAGTAAACCCACCCCGGCACCCTATTGCCAACGCGTCTTTGGACGAAAAAAAAACAACGAATATGTTTTCTTTTTTCCCCATTTTAGTGTCCGGCTTACTGCGATCGTGTATCTATGGGACAACTATTCCAAGTGCAGCGCAGTTGTTTCACGAGGCATATGGCGCCCATACTGTCGAGGTGTTATCGTTTGTGCCACCGGGGATCGGAACGCTGATAAGTGCACCTGTATCAGGTAAAGTTGATCAAAGTGTGAAATGTTCTCAAGGTGTAAGAAAAACAAACTCGGTCGGATCTCAGAAGCTGCGGAAAAACGAATTCCCGTTCACATTATTTTGACCTTTGACCTCATAACTGTATAGGTCAGATGAAGAGGTGACAATGGACATCTTTTTAATGTTTGACCATATGGAGGTAGGGGATTTGACCATGGCCATTTGAGCTTTTTTGAAATTTGACGTTATTTTGACCTTGACCCCATGATGACCTCAAGTTGACCCCAGTTTGGTCATGTAACAGTTTGGGGCTGGGCTACTGATGATCCTTTTGACAAAGTTTGGTTGAAATTGGTCAAAATATGTAGGAGCAATAGACAATGTCAACGTTTTTGTTACTATTACTCACTAACTAACTAGCTAACGCACGGACTAACGCAACGGTGACCAATTTCGGTCAGCATGGCCTCTCCTTGAGATTTTGCCCAATCCGATCTTGGGAATTTAGGACAGGCCTTGGGAATATGTCGCTGAGCCTTAGGATTTTTTTGCATACTGTGAACGCACAAAAGTATAGATTGCGCATGCGCAAAATGTTATCTGAGGCACTTTGTGAGCCCCATTCACATAAAAATATGGTGCTGTTATTGTGATGCATAGTGCTAATATCTTGGGAAATCTTGGGAATTTTTCAGAGGACATCTTGGGAATTTCTAATTAGATGGATGGCCACGCTGAATTCGGTTGCTGCGCGTGCCGATGTTGCCAACGGTAAAGGCTGCTCTTACAAGGGCGGATCCAGAACACATTTTTTGGGGGGGCCAAAAAAAAATTTTTGGTCCCCCCAAAAAGTGGGTCTAAAAAATTACGGCGTGGGGTTCGGGGCCCGCAAGGGCCCCGAAAATTTTTTGGATTCTAGATGCTCTGTGGTGCGATCTGAGGCAATTTCTGACCACTTTAACCAATTTTTTTTGAGGAAAAGATGGTGGTGTACTCATTGCCTGCCTTTATTGCGATGTCACATTAAAAAAAAAAAAAATTGGTTTCGTTTTGGGGGGGGCCATGGCCCCCTTTGGCCCCCCCCCCCCCCCCCCCCCCCCCTGGATCCGCCCTTGTGCTCTTAAGCTGTGGCGATGACTAGCGCAGGCTAGTCGAAACGTTGAGACCAAAGACAAGTTTGTTATAATTTAAAGCAGGACTGTTCTTTTCAGAACTAAAACTACGTCGCGAAAGTTGATAATAAGCAGGACAAGTTCTTTTCAGAACTAAATATCTTCTAAGCAGTAGTTATTACCACATGGTGTTACCGCAAACCGAAACGATAGCATTCCCTGAAAATACCCGAAGTTTTTCGAACATGGTTTTGTTGGCACAAGAATTTTGAGCCCCGATAAATCTTCATTTTCCTTCAGTTGATGCAGCATGCAAATTAGAAGGTTTAAAACTTGTTCATTTGTGTTTCGTATGTTTCGATCTCGTTGCTAGGTGTATTGTATGACGTCACGGGTGACTACGTCCTCGGCATTTTTGTCATCGCCGCCATCTTTGTCTGTGCGTCGGCAGCGTTGCTTGGCATTCCCTTGCACAGGAGGTTTGGGTCTCGTGGATTGTCTGGCTCGGGTGGATCAAGCCTTCCCGTTCCATTATAAGCTGCTGGTACAGAGATAACGCCGCCATATTTATACCTCCATAGGCCATAATTGAGCGCTTGAGGGCGCACTGTACTGACGCCATTTTCTGGATATGGACATCGATGGTACAGACACTAAGAATATCACGTTTAACATTTCATTCATAAAATTTACAACTTGTAAACTGGGTTTTTTTTTATTACAGCAACAATTGGACTACATCGCCCTCAGTCGCTGAAAACTATGACCTATTGGTAATAGGCCGATCCACTAAGCCCCTCCCACTGCGCACATACTGCATTATTCCAGACGCGCGCGTCGTACTTAAAATTAGTGTTTAGACTGTTATTTTCGCTGGACATTATTTTGGTTAAGCGGTCACGGCTGATGCGATTGGTCAAATTTTCGTAGACGGGCTGAATGGATCGGTCTATTGCGACTGAGAAAACATACAACAATGTAGCCTGGGAATAGTTGTTGAGTATGTTCAGATGCACCATACATGTGTATTTGCAAGTTACGCATGATGTCATTCTTAAGGCCTCCCTTACAGAAATGTCCCATGGGCATCCCATGGGATGCCCACGGGGTCATCAATAACACCATGTTAGTTAAAATGATCACCATGGGAGATTTTATGCTCATCATGGAAAAACCATGGGAACACCATGGAGATTGCATGAACACCATGGGAACACCATGGAGATTGCATGGACACCATGGGAATACCATGGAGATTTTATGAGCTCCATGGGCACACCATAGAGGAATTTATGAACACCATGGAAACACCATGGGTATTTTATGGACACCATTGGAACACAATGGGGTATTTATGAACACCATGGGAACACCATGGGGATTTTGTGGACACCATGGCAACATCATGAGGAAACTGACGTATGTAAATGTACAGTCGACTCCCGTTAGTACAAACTCTGTTAATACAAAATTCTGGTTTTAACAAACATAAAGCCTTGGTCCCGACTGTGCATTTATATGCACAATGAATGGGACTGATGTTCCTCTTAATACAAAATTCTGATATAACAAACAATGCGGCAAGGTCCAAACGAGTTTGTTATAACGAGAGTCGACTGTACATACTACTACGCTGCATCGGGAGTCCTGTTTATTACGTCACGATTTACTATGTTTTGTTTGCTGCCCCCAGCGACGACTTTTACACAAATTGCACGTTCGGGTCGAAACAGGACCTGAAAAACAGCTCTCAAAGTACCTTTTGTACTCATTTCATTAGGCTACATATACCCGAAAAATGACGGAAATGTCTTCGAGCATTTCCCAACCTCTTTAAGAACAGGTTGAATGTTGCAACAGTGTTGGTAATTTTGCTTGATAAATTGAGGTTCACGATGTGAACTTGTATTACGTTTCTGTTGCATGTATAGCATGCATCGTAATATCGCTAAAGGATTCTTAAATGTAATGATTCAACCATACTGTCTTCATTTTGCATGTTGAAATAAGGTTATAGTGTTTTATGTGTGTGGTGTGGGGTTTTAGTTAGGTATAACGTATAAATTTGTATTCTTTTATGATGCCTAATGTGTTTTTCATAGAAGCCTCCCTTTTAGTGTTGTAATAGTTTTGAATTTGGGGTGCCGGGTCACTGTATCATATCATGTTTGGATCATATTTAAGTTCTTATATTTAAATGATTACGGCTGGGTGTATATTTAATCTTTGTATTTAGAGACATTTGACTAATTCTAAAATGTATACAGCCAGGGTACATCTTTCATATTTTAATTAGAGATATTTAGAAATAGACCTACGTGTTTTTATTGAGTAATTGTACAATTTATACAGGGTACAGATTTAATATTTTATTAACAGACATTTATGTATAGGCCTACATGTTTTCATGACTTAATACTAAAATTTGTATTGTGCTTTATTGTGATATTAAAGGGCCTAGGCAACTTTCGAATCCTCTCAATTGTATAAAAAAAAATATATGACGTCCTTTTTTGCACTACATATATTGAGAAGTACACTTCTTTCAACATATAAAATTGCCCATGTCTTTCCGGACAACTGAGGGTGCTGTTACGCGCGAGTGTCTTTTCAGCGGCTCAGGAAGACACTGTTCATTTTAGGTGTTTTCTGTTTTTGAACAAAAAATTAATGTTCATTGAAAACATTTGTGAGAAAAGTTTGCTCACTTCCTTACTGTCATGTACTACAAACGAATCATTAAAGAAAAGAAAATTTACGACAGCGAAATATCCAAGACTCTGGCAACTTTTGGTGCTGAAACCTAGTTGTAACATGGAGGTTTCTGCCTAGAATGACATCACACTTTTGCTCATGAATATGGAAATTTGACTAAGCATAAAAATACAAAGGCACAAAAATACCCTTGAATATTGGCCAGCCAAAATTTAAAAATATGGATAAAGGGGACGCAAAGGTGCATTTTCAAGGATTGCATTAAAAACAATTACAGTGCATATCCCTTTAAACCAATACTCCCTCTAGCGCCCGAAATCGCATTAGGCGAACAATGATTTCATGGATTCTTCAGTGAATAAATGAAATTGTAACACACAAATGTTTTCAATAAGCACATTTTTTAGTTCACAATTTGAACCAAAAACCCCGGTTAACCTGAACAGTGTCTTCCTGAAATGACATCACTGCAACAGCGCCCTCAGTTGTCTGAAAAAGCATGGAGTTTTTAAAATGTTTTGTGTTATTATTATTCATTATTCTTTATAAATAAGCCATACATTTTACATCACCTTTCGTAGATTTTGTCTGATTATCTTACTGTTGTGTTGTATCCGTGACATTGATCACTAAACTCAGAAATCTGCGGAAGCCGAATAGTGCTACTATATCGGGATGAACTTTTGCGACATGAAGTTGATTGTTCCCGAACATCGAGAGTGACATAGTTATGCCTTACATATGTATTTTCAGATTGCACTAATCATAGTTGTCTAGGGGGCGCTGTTCAAGTTGGCAGAGACGACACGGGAACTACAGGGTGCAACCCTGCAAAAAATCCCATAGACACTAGTGCTAAATGCGCATACTTCAAAATTCTTTTAAAAATACTCAGAACTCTCACAGGTAATCAAGCTGCACAGAAAAATGATGATAAATGTGTCCTCTTTCATTTTCTTTTCATTTTTTGGTGGGTTGAACATTGACTTTTCGAGATATTCTAACCCAAACAAGACGACCCCTATTTTCCCCAAAGCGGAAAAGTAGCCATCTTGAAAAACGATCTCTCCACAATAAACATGGCAAAATAGCGCAACTTTCGAGCCCAATAGCATCCAAAATGCTCAGAATTGAAAGAGACACTATAGAGACACTACTGTTCTGCATGAAATGACATCACGCTTTGGCTCATGAATAGTGAAATTGTCATCATAAAAACTAAAATGTTAAAATTTCTCCCTTTTACTGCTACAAAGGAGGTGGAAAGTCAAAGTAACATGGCAAGAAAGCTGCTTTAAAGGGAAAATACAACATTTGCAAACATCAAAAAATAAAACTACCAAATCATTTTGAAATACTTTGCTGGACTGTTAGTGAATGACAGTGTAAATCATCCTGTAAAATCATGGCACCTGGTATACTGTCATTTTCAAGAAAAGTGGTATTTTTGTATCAATTTCCAACGCTGATCGGCCGATCAGCGTAGGAAAAAACTGGCTTTTTTCAAATACTGGCCCCAATTGACCATTGCACTTGTTTGCAATCGATTACAAACCTATGAACGAGTACGAGCCAGCTAGACTGGTTCCCTGACCTTACAATTCCCCAATGTATGTAAACTGCTCTGTTTCTTCTTATATGGAGTCAGGGAACCAGCCTACTAGGAAAATGATTGTTTTTCTTGGTTTTTATAGCATTTTCGAACCCAAAACCTCAAAAAAGTCAGTGAAACTATATTTGCTATATATTTCCAACCCCCCAATTCCATCCATTTCTGAAAATTACAGTAAAAGCAAATGATGTATATTCCCTTTAAATGTATATAAGTCATAAAAATCCTATTGTATGTTTCCTTTAACGATCTCATTCCCCAAAATGGACCTTTATTGCAGTTGATCATCACTTCTTTCTGAAAATTCCGCCACGAAATTCCCTGGGACACATTTTTTTATCTCATGCCAAAGCGGGGATTTGCTCTGCAAACTCGAAGATTAAACTGACCTTACTTGTATACCATGCGAACAACACTCACAAACAACAGTACAACTTGTCCAGAATCCTTTGCTCAAATATTTGTGCGTTCCAAAAAAGCGCGAACGTTTGACGCCGTGGATATGGGCACGGCGCTCATGTTCTGAGCAGAAAAACAACCAGACAAACCTCCGACATAATAACAACAGCAAACAAACATAATCCGTCCAGAAAAAAAGGTGTTATTGGTTAATTACGTTTAGAGAACCTGAGCTTTCTTTTCAACTTGATGAAAATTCCAAAATATTTTGTCCGGTCGAGGTATTCAAAGGGAAAGAAAACTCAGAATATTTTCAAAAGTGCCATGCCATTATCAAACTAATCGAATGTCACATGCGCAGGAAGTATGACAAAAGACAGGGTTGTGTACATACTAGGCTCAATCCCCGCCCCCTTTTGTGTACAGAATGCTAGATCCTGCCCCTTGCCTGATGGAATCAAGCCCCCCCCCCCCCCCCCCCCCCCCGCCTTTTCTGTTTTGTATAGGCTATTGAAATTGAGTGGTCGTGAATTCACGAATGAGGGACTCGTCTCCAAGAATGGTCCTCCAAACTGCTACAAGAAATGTAAATATTGCAAAAGCGAAAGAACGGGGCATTGCGTTTGTATTTTTAGAACGAAACCATCAGTGGCGTACGTAACGCCAAGTGGGAAAGTTGGGGACTCGGGGATAGGGTATTGGTTGACTCCATCACGCGCAAGTCCATCACAGGTCCAGTCACAAGAGACAGGGATGGACTTTATGAGAAAAAAAAGCAAAGACTTTTGTCAAAGTTCTGTTGAAATGGCTGTGGTTCGACTGGAGAACTTGACTCAAGTTTGTGATAGACTTGTGATAGACTTGTGAGGACTAGCGCGGACTTATGGACCCGACTACATGTACTCGATTGAGTGTTCTTCCACTTCCCCCACCCATACCGAACACAAACCTACTCTAAATGCAGCGTTCACTACCATTGGCTATAGCCATTACGGCGTACTCTTTCTGCTCGTTCCATCATCAGTGATCATAAACCAAGCTAGCTGTCCAAACTGTAGTTGGGATGGGACCCAATTATAGTTGGGGTAGTCCCAACCATAGTTGGGCCCATTGGTTATTCATTACGGCTTATACTATTTCTGCTCGTTCTATCATCAGTAATGTTACAACCAAACTATAGCACCGTTCAAACTATAGTTGGGATGGGACCCATATAGCTGGGGTAGTCCCAGCCATAGTTGGGTCCATTGGCTGTTCATTACGGCTTACTATTTCTGCTCGTTCCATATCATCAGTGATGTTGCAACTGTCCAACTGTAGTTGGGATGTCCCAATTAAAGCTGTGGGCAGTCCCAACTATAGGTGGGTCCATTGTTATAGTTGGGATGTTACAGCAATGGCTGTACTTATTCTTGTGAAGAAGATTAACCGTGAACCTAGTTCGAAATTCTTGGCCCGTTTAGTCCGGGATCTGCACTTTGATTTTAGCACTTTTTCGGTAACTTGGAACCCATGATTGAACAGTCTTATTTTTTGCGCGCTGTATACATTCTTCTCCTTAAGCCCTTAAGTAAACCACACGGTTGAAGAAAAAACTGTTGTTTGAGTCAAACAAACCAAGTACTGTGGGAGTTACGTGTTTGTGAGTTTGCAGACGTCTTTCAACAGAACACTCACACGGTCTTTCACATGCATCAAGTTATTTTGGGAGGCAAGAAACGATAGTGCAAACCTCATGCAACTTTGAGAGCACTTGAGAGGATTCTTGGCGTGCAT